AAAGGGTCTATTTCCCTGGAGCCTGCCGGGAATCGTGCGTTCCTGGAGGCGCCGCGGTCTCAGTGCGCTGGTGGCGAGGGGAGGCAGAGCATCGGCCTGCTTTCCCCTTGTCTCGGGTAGCACGCGGCTCGCCCATTCTTCTTCTGATTGCAGCGAGGACGACTCGAGTTTCCAGTGTCGTGTCAAGCCGTGCTACGCCGAGACAGGCACGCCAAGCCGCACTACGTCCTCGAGCCGAGCCTCTCCGACGCGTTCGAGGTCACTTTACCGTGGCTATGAGGAGCGCGCGCTGCTCCGCGCTGCTGCTCTACCCTGATCTGCCCTGCTCTGCAGCTCCCCCAGTATCGCGACGCGGGAGGGGAAGCGGGTCGGACAGCTTCGAGAGGCTGGGGCAGGCTGGGGTGGGGCGCGGCCTCGCGTCGCGCTAGCCAATACCCATAAATTCCCCAGTCAGCCGGGAAAGAAATTACTCAAAGTTAGTGGTCAAACCGAGGCCGAGTGCGCCGCGGGCAGCCCAGCCTAGGCCGTCGCACTGCAAAAGTCGACCCCGCACCGCTGCAGCGGTCAGAACGCGTCAAACGGGCAGAGTTTGAAAACCTCTAGACAAGTTTTGGTCGGACTTAAGTCTCGCTAAAATTTGATCAGACCAAAATCAATAAATACAACGGGACGAGCCAATAAGCGACCAGTCTTTCCCAAGGTAGCCTACAGTTTAGGTATAAGCGATTTCCAGGGAGTTCCAGGAAAAACCAGGAACCGTTTTAGGAACCGTGTTCACTTGCTATAGTTTTCCCAGTGCGGCCGCCCTCGCCGTGTGCCTGCCCTTCCGGGTGGGAAATGAAATTCCCGAAGCACGGCGACCGGTGCTTGTCTTTCCGATTTAAAACTTTTTGAACTTTGGCCCGCGGCGCCGACAAAGAGACGCGGCCCTCGACGGACGGACGGACGGACAAGCTTGGGCCGAGTTTGGAATCACGTAGCCAATCCAACGCCTCGGGGAAGAAAGAGGAGCAAGGGACAGCCGGGAAAGGCAGAGCATGCAGAGACCGGAAGGAGAAAGAGAGACAGAGACAGAGAGACAGAGAGACAGAGGGACAGGAGAGAGAGACAGAGAGAGAGAGAGAGATACGGAAGTTTTAAGTAAGGTTTTGAGAGTGCCTACGCCCACACTCACGATCTCTCACCCATTCACATCCATACCCACACTCCTCCACGATCTCTATCTCTCTCTCCTCTCTCTCTTTCCTCTCTCCCTCTCTCCTCTGTCTCTCTCTCTCTTCCTCTGTCTCAGTGTGGCGTCGTTGTGACCGTTCGCCTCATTTTGGCTAGCGTGCACCACACTGCACGAGAGCCGGACTGGTCATGGCGGCGGCGGAGTTAAAGGGTTCGGGGTGCGGCCGGGTTCGGCAGACCAGTCTATAGACGGTGTGGAGTGTGGTGTGTGAGAGAGAGAGAGAGAGAGAGAGAGAGAGAGAAGAAAGAGAGAGAGAGAGAGAGAGAGAGAGAGAGAGAGAGAGAGAGAGAAGAAAGAGAGAGCGTCGGGGTGGACGCCTCGCGTGTCCGACCAACAAAAAGGCAAAAAAGACGTGAGCGCCAGAAGAACGGTGCAGCCCGCGTCGAAAATAAAACAACACGCCGCAACAAAGTGTATGGACGGCAACAGAAGCAGTGGAGAAAAAACGATGGAGAGAAGAGTTAGACGGCAGGAGTGACACCAGTAGTCACAGCAGTAGCGACAGCCGCTGCGGCGCAGCGTCCTCGGCGTCGTCGTGCGAAACGGCGCCGTCGCGGCCAGACTTCGCCGGCTTCGCAAACAATAAACGTCACCATTGTCCTCGCCTACATGCGGCGCGGCCCAACCGCGGGCCCGACCCAAGTTGCTTGCGTCTGTCAAGCCCCAAGTTAGAAACAAGTGCGTGTGTGCAGAGGCCTGCAGGCTGGTCCCCCCGGCGGGGCCCGGCGCTACAAGGGTCGTAAGCCACACGACACCTCACTCGCCCCGCAGCGTCCACCCCGACGCTCTCTCTCTCTCTCTCTCCTTCTTGGTACCAGCCTGCAGGCGCGCAGCTGAGATGATACCAGTTCTCCTAAAGTAACTTCATCTAATGCTCTGCAGCACTCTTCTCCTAAACACATATTTTTCACCTAATGATAAATTCGCCTAAACAATAATCTACTAACACATGTCATCTAAATATTCCTCTCCTAATCATTTCTGTCCTAAACATTTTTCTCCTAATACGATTAACACAGTATGATAACCAATATATAGTAAAAGCTACTGGAAACAATCCCCTGGAGTTGCAGGTGTGGCTGAGGAGGCTCCAGGACCGGCCGCAGGGCAGGGCTCACGGTCAGCTGGGTGCCTTCATCAAGCCCCTGGAAATGCAGGCGTGGCTCGGGCGGCTCCAGGACCGGCCGCAGGGGGCTCACGGTCAGCTGGGTGCCTTCATCAAGCCCCTGGAAATGTAGGTGTGGCTCGGGCGGCTCCAGGACCGGCCGCAGGGCTCACGGTCAACTGGTTACTTTCTCTAAGCCCCTAGAAATGCAGGCGTGGCTCGGGCGGCTCCAGGACCGGCCGCAGGGCTCACGGTCAACAGGTTACATTCATCAAGCCCCTGGAAATGCAGGTGTGGCTCGGGCGGCTCCAGGACCGGCCGTAGGGCTCACGGTCAACTGGTTACTTTCTCTAAGCCCCTGGAAATGCAGGTGTGGCTCGGGCGGCTCCAGGACCGGCCGCAGGGGGCTCGCGGTCAGCTGGGTGCCTTCATCAAGCCCCTGGAAATGCAGGTGTGGCTCGGGCGGCTCCAGGACCGGCCGCAGGGCTCACGGTCAACTGGTTGCCTTCATCAAGCCCTTGGAAATGCAGTTGTGGCTCGGGAGGCTCCAGGACCGGCCGCAGGGCTCACGGTCAACTGGTTACTTTCTCTAAGCCCCTAGAAATGCAGGCGTGGCTCGGGCGGCTCCAGGACCGGCCGCAGGGCTCACGGTCAACAGGTTACATTCATCAAGCCCCTGGAAATGCAGGTGTGGCTCGGGCGGCTCCAGGACCGGCCGTAGGGCTCACGGTCAACTGGTTACTTTCTCTAAGCCCCTGGAAATGCAGGTGTGGCTCGGGCGGCTCCAGGACCGGCCGCAGGGGGCTCGCGGTCAGCTGGGTGCCTTCATCAAGCCCCTGGAAATGCAGGTGTGGCTCGGGCGGCTCCAGGACCGGCCGCAGGGCTCACGGTCAACTGGTTGCCTTCATCAAGCCCTTGGAAATGCAGTTGTGGCTCGGGAGGCTCCAGGACCGGCCGCAGGGCAGGGCTCACGGCCAACAGGTTACATTCATCAAGCCCCTGGAAATGCAGGTGTGGCTCGGGCGGCTCCAGGACCGGCCGCAGGGCTCACGGTCAGCTGGGCGCCTTCGTGGAGTTGCAGGCATGCCTACAATGGGGCCAAAGTCCGATCTTTGTGCCTTGACGATAGCAGCAATTGAAGGAACAAGTGCACCTTGTGCGGGTGGTGACCTGCCGCATTGTTCGAGCTGAATGCGGTTCGCTCGGGCACAACAACTAGGTAAGAGGTGATCAAACGGACAGTGGTTCAGAGGTGTATGTTGTTCATGGTTTTCAGATGATGAAGCTGGGGCTCTTCTTCTTGTTTTATACCCTCTTGAGGAGTGAACCAAGAATGTGGGTCAAACATAGGAAAGAAAAGAGAATTCAGTTTATATTCTTTATTAAAATTTATTAACTTTCAAACAACAAATCATTTGAATTTAGTTTTTCAATGGATGCAGTCCCTATGATGGGCTCCTACAACTCTGTGAAACCAAACGTGGACTTTGTACTCCACACTAGGAAGTGCAGAGTTTGCAGTCTCAACACTTCTGAAAGGTAGGCAAAACGTGCTTCTTTGCCCCTGTCAGTAGGCAAAAAGGGCTACCTCCCCCCCCCCCAAGCCGCCTCTGGCACGTAAGTCCACTTCGGTGAACTACTCATTGCCGCAGTGGTGTTCCATCAGCAATGTATGTAGACTACGCAAGTACAACCGTCGGTGCGCCACCGTTTACAATTTGCATTACACAATTGAGTTTGTAAAGGTGAAGTCTCCACCGTCTCCAGGACCACGTCGTCGCTTACCTACCACCATTCGACTTCATCATAAAGCCACCAGGCGGCTTACTTGCCAGGCGGCGGGGGGTGAAGTTATCGATTGGCAATGCCAGTGCCCTTCGTGCGAACACGCAAGAGAGGACATGCGGAAGAGTTATTAGGTAACATGCTAACTCAATCCCACACCACCTTCGGGAAGCAACATCTAAGTTAAGGGATGTAGGCTTTTCTTGCAAGAGTGCAAGAGATGGTATCTAAGTACGGTACGCAGGTACAATCTCTCAAATTGGGGTGTCTTGGCTCCGGCCGGCCTCAGGCCGGACCCAGGGCTCCCGGCGACCACACTTCCCACAACGCCTGCCTGGTAGGCAACCGCATGGACTTTCGTACGGAAGGGGTTGCCTAGACGTCCAGGCGCTCACCGCTGCTCGGAGCCTTCGGGCCCGCCGGCTGCCAGGTACGGCTTGCCGCCCCGCAGGACAACCGACCGGCGTCCTGGTGGCCGGCACCACTGTCAATGTCCCGAGATGAAGAGGCTTGGGTCAGGCCGGCCCCGGGGCGCACGGCGGCCACGGCCACGCTCTCGCCATCCCGAGATGAGGGTGGCTTGGCCCTCGCCGGCCCCAGGGCTCGCGAAAGCCCACGCTCTCGCCTCCCCCGAGATGGGTGTGGCATGGCTCAGGCCGGCCCCAGGGCGCACGGCGGCCACGGCCACGCTCTCGCCATCCCGAGATGCGGGTGGCTTGGCCCTCGCCGGCCCCAGGGCTCGCGAAATCCCACGCTCTCGCCTCCCCCGAGATGGGTGTGGCATGGCTCAGGCCGGCCCCAGGGCGCACGGCGGCCACGGCCACGCTCTCGCCATCCCGAGATGAGGGTGGCTTGGCCCTCGCCGGCCCCAGGGCTCGCGAAAGCCCACGCTCTCGCCTCCCCCGAGATGGGTGTGGCATGGCTCAGGCCGGCCCCAGGGCGCACGGCGGCCACGCTCTCACCTTCCCGGGACGATGGAGGCTTGGCCTGGACCGGCCCCTGGTCTCACGGCGGACTGGCTCACCCCGGTCGGACGAGCATGCATAGGCCTATAGCGGTCCTGCTGACCCAATAAACTAAAAGATCATGAAGATGAACCTTACCTCAACGTCACTCAATTCACCTACTTCTACGCTTCAGCACAGCAATTGCCATGAAGACTTGAGAAGCAGTCAATAGGCAGGTAGTCGTGCAGATGTTCTTCTTGGCAGTGGTAGTGCTTGTTTGTCATCTCAGGTCTTGCAGCTGGCTCCGATGAAAATGCTGTCACAAAACTTTCCTCCCTGATGGCTCAATTGTCGAGTCCTGAAAATTGAAAAATAACTGAGCAAGAGTTGTCGAAATAAAAAGAAAAGAGCTCCTTGAGAAAAGTGTTCCGTTACCTTTCATGTCTACAGTAAAAGCAGATAGATCAACACAGGTGCACTTGTGTAGCACACATCACCGCAATAGGCAGGTAGTCGTGCAGATGTTCTTCTTGGCAGTGGTGGTGCTTGTTTGTCATCTCAGGTCTTGCAGCTGGCTCCAATGAACATGCTGTCACAAAACTTCCTTCCCTGGTGGCTCCATTGTCGAGTCCTGAAAATTGAAAAGTAACTGAGCAAGAGTTGTCGAAATAAAAAGAAATGAGCCCCTTGAGAAAAGTGTTCCGTTACCTTTCATGTCTACAGTAAAAGCAGATAGATCAACACAGGTGCACTTGTGTAGCACACATCACCGCAATAGGCAGGTAGTCGTGCAGATGTTCTTCTTGGCAGTGGTGGTGCTTGTTTGTCATCTCAGGTCTTGCAGCTGGCTCCAATGAACATGCTGTCACAAAACTTCCTTCCCTGGTGGCTCCATTGTCGAGTCCTGAAAATTGAAAAGTAACTGAGCAAGAGTTGTCGAAATAAAAAGAAATGAGCCCCTTGAGAAAAGTGTTCCGTTACCTTTCATGCAGTCAGGTAGTCGTGCAGATGTTTTTCTTGGCAGTGGTAGTGCTTGTTTGTCGTCTAAGGTCTTGCAGCTGCAGCTGGCTCCGATGAAAATGCTGTCACAAAACTTCGTTCCCTGACAACTCATTTGTCGAGTCCTGGAAATTAAAAAATTATGAAAAGGGTTATAGGAGGCTAGGAGTGGTTTGAAAGGAGAAGAGGCACTTGAGAAACCACACTACACAAATGTGTTTAGAAGCAACAGCAGGATTCGCTCGTCTGTCACACCCAAGCATCAGTGGCAGGGTTTCGCAATGGAGTTTAAGAGGATTGAGCTGATTCAATCACTGGGGCTGATTCTAAAGGTGACATGTGAATCAGTTGACTGGTGAGCTTCACTCTGACACCAAACGAATTCATACTCAACATTAGTCGGCACACACCTGACAAAATGTTCCCCTGAAGCTGTCTCTATCACAAGAGGCCGGCAATACGATGGAAAGCACTGGATGTGATTTGAAGTGGGAAGTCACACTTGGTTTTTGATGGAGTCAACCTGCTGAAAAATGGATGGCAATAGAACCGCACTTCCTTTTTTTAACGAACACTTTGAGTAAGAACATTGCAGCAAGAGGTTAAGAGGTTAGGTCAGATTAACAAGTGCTCTGTTCGTGAAAACATTGTCGCACACTCATAATTTCAACAAGGAAAGAAGGAATTTAAAGAAAAGATGGCTCACCAGTACTGATAAGTCCGCGTTGTAGCAGAATAAGAGGGAGAGATGAAGTCCGTTGCAACAGGTCTCAACCGTCATTTTCAAATGACGAAACGCTCGTTTGCACTGGAAAGCCGAATGTTCGCTTCTTGTTGTTAAGGTGTGCACAGTCAAATCATTGGCAAGATAAATCAAACATTTCATACGGTTTGGCTCACAATCAAAGGAACTTTTCCAAGCGTCACAACAATATGGGGTGGCCTGTTTTGACTTGCCGTTTGGCCGTTTGGCTGAGATTGAGAGTTGGCGGAATCGATATATCGATGGTTCTGAGGCCCAGGCAATCATTTTAAAAGAAATACCACTACAGGTAATACAGCTATGAAAAGCGTGTATCAAATGTATTATGTGTATCCAAAAATAAAAATTTAAACGCGTACCGTGGAGATTTAAGAATGTAATTGTAATGACCGAAAAGCCATCTCTTCCCGGCATCCGGCAGCGCCATGTTGTATTTTGCGCTGCTGTGTTGTTGTTATTGTTGTGGCTGTTTGCCGAAGCAGAAACCTCTCCATATCATTATTATCAAATCAAACAGCGCGATTTAAAATAATAATAATAATAAGTCTGTGTGTACGAATCATGGGCACCTTTCGTTTGAGGTCCTGAAATTGGCCGATTACTTAACTGTGAGAGCGGCAAGTTTCTCTATTAACCCTATCACCTGGGTTTGTACGTTTCAACAACTTTTTTCATTTTCCTCCTCCTCCTCTTATTTTTGACGACATGTCGGCAAAGAGGCAGGCAGGCATGTCGTGCATGATCTGCTTTGGTAGCTACTCGCAGCTTTATCGGGTTGTACGCAATGGCCTTAACCTCCCTGTCCTTCACCACCACTAAGTTATCCTCAGCATGCCCAAACTAACGTGCCCTTTTGAGCGTTGAACACTTGAAATGAAATGTATGGCCACACCAAACAGGTTGGCTCTGTATTTCATATCATTCCAAGTTCCCATTGGTATCCCAGATCAATTGAGAAGCATTTTCACATTGATCCGTCTTACACAGCGTCTTCTAACATGGGCGCCTTGGCACTGCTTACGCTTTCTGAGAGCAGAATGTGATTGAATATGTGTGGGTGTGTTTTCCAAGAACTTAGATCTTGCGCACTGATATCTGTTATTATTTTTAACAGGCTTTTCACCAGTTTCGCCTTCAGACCCATGATGGAGCCTCCGGAGAGCAGTTGCTGATAATCAGTGTTGGAGTTCCTTGAGCTGGCGGCAGAAGCAGAGCCTGCAGTTTCGGTAAGGTACAAATATTGCACTCATCCGTTTGACCATTTCAAAGTGAAATGGAGAAGTGTTTCCAATTCAAACTGTTCTTCAAACAGTTCTTGTTGAGTCTACGGGCCCGATGCCAAGAGTTCTTTGGTTTCATCCTAACTTTATGGTGGAATTTCCATCGATACTGTTTTAAGTACTCAACTAGTAAATTCGAGTTTTGAAATGGGTGCTGATATTCATGTCAGAAGCCTGTCTCACTTTCCTTTCTATTCTAGTCAGTGGCGTGTCATGTCATAACTTTTATTTGGGTTTGATGACAATCAAATTGATTGAATAATAATTCTTAATGGTTTCAACTTTACCTTTTTTTTCCTCTAAAAGTTCACGTTAATGAACCTTAATGAAATGTTTGGGATGAATCTATGTTCGGTGAAGCAGTTCCTGTCTTCCCTCATTTTTAGCTCAATGTATATGACAGTGTCCAGTTATTGTGTTGGACAGAAACATTCAGCGTAACTTTAATAACTATTGGCTTTTGTGTAGATGCTAATGTCTTCCCATTACTCTTTATTTTATTTCCTTGTATTCTCTTAGAGTTTTATTGGTGTGGTTTTCATCTTATTGTTTGTCTTTATTTTTTGCAGTTCCTCAAAGTGCTTGAGGCATTACTACAATTCCAAAGGGTCAGTTTTCCTTTCACATCAAATCGTCCAGGTAAACATGAAATTGCTTTTCCCATTCATTTTATTGTTCTGTTTGATACTCAAGTATTAATAGGTTTTTCTTTGTAACAGGTCAACTTACTCTCCAGTCATTTATTTCAACTGAATTATGTATGCCAATATTGGCTTCTAGACTCAAAGCAAGTATTTGTGTACTGCCTCCTATCTACTGTTGGCTGTTCTGAAAATGGATCAATCACCGCTCTTACTAAAGGTAGTGTCTGCGATTCAATCAATCCTACATTTACTTCAATGTCGAGTTCTCATATAGAACAAGAGCAACTTGTAAATTCTTGGCCGTGAGTGTCAAATTTTAAATTTGTTTGTACCAAATGTTTGTATTGATTTGTATTTATTTAAAACCGATGGATACCTTGAAAAGATTATTTTTATTTGGCATATGTAATGGTTCAGGTGTCATTTACGCTAAGTGATAATGGTCAATTGAAGTGCGCACAAGGACATTGTGTACAGATTGGTTGAAGAAGGCTTTGAATTTTCCATTACCAAGGTCTGCTGTGAAAGTTTATCAGCGTGACTTGATACTGCTCCGCATGCTGGTTTCTTATCATAATGTGGGGCTGCCTAGCAGAAACTGCTCGTTGTCGGATCTTCTTCAATGGATGTTTATGTTTGTTTTTCAGTATTATGGAGGTCTCCACAATTTTGTCTCAATTGGTTGTCACATCCACTTCGTCCCTCTCCTCGTTGTTATGTTTCAGGATTTGAAATTTAGTCAGATCCTGCTTGCCTTGTCTGACTGCAGTACACGTCTACCATACTCCGATACTGTCTCTCTTGCAGGTATGCAAGAATGGCCAGTTATACTGTCGAAAGTGGTGTTTAACTGGTGTTTAGGATGTGGTGTATATCTTTCACATGCAATGACAGTTACCAGTGAAGACACTCGTTTTTAATTTGGATGTAGTGTTTGTGAGAGGGAAAACTGTACCCATCACTGTATTCTCATCCGAATGCAGGCTGCGGTTGATTGGAAATATTCCAGCGATCAGCTGGTCATGCCTCCAAGGATTGCTTGTGCACCATTGTTCAGAATAAACAAGTTGAGGGGCAGGATGTATGTTTTCAGTTCTGTCTTGGTATGCGGTGGTTTCAACATTGCAATGGACACTATGAACGAATTGATTGAACGAGGCTTTCAATTTTCTTGGAATTCTTTGCGCGCCCCAAGTCTAACATGGGCGCCTTGGCACTGCTTACACTTTCTGAGAGCAGAATGTGATTGAATATGTGTGGGTGTGTTGTCCAAGAACTTAGATCTCCCCCACTGATATCTGTTATTATTTTTTAACAGGCTTTTCACCAGATTCGCCTTCAGACCCATGATGGAGCCTCCGGCAGAGCAGTTGCTGATAATCAGTGTTGGAGTTCCTTGAGCTGGCGGCAGAAGCAGAGCCTGCAGTTCTGGTAAGGTACAAATATTGCACTCATCCGTTTGACCATTTCAAGGTGAAATGGAGAAGTGTTTCCAATTCAAACTGTTCTTCAAACAGTTCTTATCTTTCTACTTCTTCTCCCCTTCCTCCTCCTCCGCCTTCCCGGTGTTCCTTTTTCATCCCCTGCCTTTCAGCCCTACTCGATAGACTGCAGCCCTTGTTGAGTGTACGGGCCCGATGCAAACAGTTCTTTGGTTTCATCCTAACTTTATGGTGGAATTTCCATCGATACTGTTTTAAGTACTCAACTAGTAAATTCGAGTTTTGAAATGGGTGCTGATATTCATGTCAAAAGCCTGTCTCACTTTCCTTTCTATTCTAGTCCGTGGGGTGTCATGTCATAATTTTTATTTGGGTTTGATGCATTTTGGCTGGTCTATCATTTAAAACGTATGCACTAAATGTGTTGTGTTGTGTGATCAATTATTTTTTGAACTGCAACAGACCTCTCAGATGTTTGCTTTTACGTCATCAGGCTGCTGCCAAAGTCACCCTGCTAACCGGCCATGGATGAGGAACTACTTTCAATTTGTGGCTTTGTCTGCGTGCGGAAGGAAGTGGATCATTGGAGATGTTGTAGTCTGCTGACTGCATGGAACTGAGGTAAAGACTAAATCCAATTTACACCAAGTCTTCATATGTACCTATTAGGTCCTGGAATGTCTGCATTATTTTGCTGAAATTTCCTTAGCAATAGTTGGTAATTCTGATTAGTTTTAACTGCATCTTTGTTTCTGTTTTTCCTAGGCCTGCAGTGTGACAATGTGCTGCCCTCTTGTAAGCAAGCAGAGGAAAAGGACCACTACCTTCAGTCAACAATTTAACTACTCTCTGGTCTGAGGCTGTTTCATTCCTGTGGGTGGAAGCAAAGAGGTAAGAGGGCTCTTCTTTGGTGTGTTTGTGAGATGGTATGGACTTTTTCTGCATTTACCTATTTTGCATTCTTGCTTTTCTTTCTCAATGTCACTCATTGAAAGATGTTGCCTTTAGGGGCTTATCATCAAAGCAAGGAAGTGAATGGATTTTTAAAAGAAATTGATCCAAATCTCAGAACAAGTATGTTGCGTGGCTTCTCTGACCTCTTCTTAAGTTACCCTGTGTGTTTTCCCTCACCGACTCCTAGTTTTCCTTCATGTTAGGGAGGTTCCAAAGTTGCTTTTGGTTTGACTGACTATGCTTCTTATTGTTCCAGGTGTGCACCCTGCACTTCCCAGTTCCCTTGATGATCCTCGGTTTATCTGCGAATGCTGAATGTTACCTTATAAGAGAAAGGGCAATTTCTTTCCCACCAGTATGACCATGTCAGTTATTTTTTTATTCGTTTTATTGTTCATTACTTTCATTTTTGCATCTGCTATTTTACAATCCTTACTGATTTTACTTGCCAATAAGTGTAATAACGTCAAATGTTATGTCAATAAAGAAAAAACATATCTAAATGGAACTTTTGATGTACAAACTCAACATTTAAGAAGTCAAAGCTCCAAGCACAAGAAAATACAGATACAAAATATCAGGTTCCACTGATACCTAAAAATTGAATGTAGGAAAGTAGAAAATAATTGTATGGAATTACATGTAGAAAATTATTGATAAGAATTGAAGTAGAAAACAATTTAAAAGAAATGGAAGTTAAAAAAACATTGTGTGGAAAAATACAGTACATCCCTGGTTTAGGCAGGACACAGTTCGCAAGGGATGCACTGTATACTAATCTACTTTGAAATGTGACGTTGCGGTATAATGTTAGGAATTTCTATGACATTAATTGGAACTTTACAACAAGGACAACAGTTTCCTACTTTTAACCATTCTAATATGCAGAATGTGCACATATCTTTGCGACACTTCTTACATTTGTATGGCGGCTTAAGTACTTCTTCCAGGCACACTGGACAATCTTCATCCACTTCTTGACAGGTGACTTGTTTACTCAAGTTAGGTTCTTCAAATCCCTGGTGGCATGGAGAATCTGAAAGTAAACATGATAATTGAAGCATTATAAAGAGGCTTTTAATGCATAAGGAACTGAACCCATACCCAAAGTTACAGATATATAAAATTGCAATGCTAACAAAAGTGACACTGCCTGAACATGAACAAAAGGCTCTACTGAGTACCTGTTCTAAAGACGTCAATTTACTAACTACAAACTACTTTCACACCAAATAATGTTTACATGTGTCTCATTGGGGATCAGAGGCGATGTTTGAGGTCAAAATAATTATAACGTCGCCAGTCTCATTGGCTTTGTGGGTTTCTGGTTCTAAACACAAAGATAGAAGAACCGACAGGTTTCATAACTTGATGATAAGTTCAATCCTACTTCCATCATTGTTAACAGAGTTGCTACTCCAGATACTTTTACACACCACATGAAATTCATTCTTTAAGCCTGATTGACATTAAAAGAAACTTTGCAACTAATGTATTTTTAAAAGGAGGAAAACATGTAACTTTAAAAGCACGACCTCTTTAAGTTAAACCATCAAAAAGAAACATTTGGAACTTGCTAGTGAATATTGCAGACAGTGAACCAAATAAAGTTTTCAGATGTCCCAAGAGAAAGCAAGCAAACATGAAATGTCACTAATTTTTAGAAAAGATGTAATCAAAATTAATGTAATTGGCCAAGACAATTCATTCAGCATCCAGTTTTAAAGATAGCTTACAAGTGGAACCCGCTTTTCTCTTCCAGAATAACCTCTATGTACCTTTTACTCATTAAACATCTTCTCCCCCCCTTCGTGGAAAAGGGGAGAGACAGGACGGAATCCCTCTGGCAGAAGCCCCTTGCTTTTCAGCTCATTTATTTCGTCTTGATACTCTGAGTTTTGACATCGCTTGTAAGCTTCTTTCAAATTGGATGCCACTCTTGCTTCTATTATTGAAAGTGATGCAAGTCTAGAAGACTGACTGGGACCAGCTGAAGGCAAGAAAACAAAATTTTATGAACTCACATTATTTAGATTTTGATCATCAATTGTCCTCAAAGGGTTCCATTTCATCTGCTGGATCAGAATAGTCCCCTGTGTGTTAAACGGGAACTATTAAATTTCTAAAATGATGGTAGTGAATTAGAAGTCATGACAACAATAAACAAAGGGAGGTATTTGGTTATCCCAGCGTCATTCATTGTGAATGACACTTCTCGCACTCAAGATATTTATTTTGTAGTTCTTTGAGCTGCTTTACCCCTTCAGATTTTGAAAGGAAGATTAAGGAAGGCATGAAGACAAGGCATTTGCTCTGAACAGGACCAAGTAATTGCCATACTTGTCTAATTTACAAAATACTAACCAGTGTTAAAAATTCTAAATAATATTTTAATAAACTGCAATTAATGACTACCCAAACTTCTTTTGGTTATTGCTATTGACTAATCTGTTACACCCTTTTATCAAAGTTAGTTCAGAAATTATCCTTCTACTAACCTTCTTCATATTTGGAAGATCGAAGAGTCCTCTTTTTCGGTGGTTTTTTCTCCTCTGAAGGATTTTGATAGAATTTCTCAGCCTCGTCCCTTAGGGCAGCCATCTTCGCCTTGCTGACTCCACGTGCTTTGGCAGGTTTCTTAGCTGTAACCATTGAACCACATTGATAAGTTTACAAGATAAATACCAATACAGCAAGTAAGGTTCTTGGATCCGTACAATTTTTTGCAGCTGGGGCTGGGGCCTTCCCTTTGCCCTTTTTGGTGGAGACGACATCATCAGGCTGCACAGAAAATATCATGAATGTTAAAAATCCACTTGAATATTTAACACAATCACCTACAGGGATGTTGTTAAATTCTGACAGTTGCTTTGATGTCTGAATGGAAAATCCATCAATAAACAACCTTTTGGTTTTATTAAAAATTCTAGTCAGGGAAAGATAACAAATTATCTGTTTAGAAACAACAACATGCAATCTTTACAAACTAAAAAATTGGTTGTAAGAATACTGCTTGGATCTTATTGATTTAAAGCACAATTAGGCTACCACAAATGCGACAAAGATACAATCAATTACTTGGCAGAAGTATTGTCGTACTACAATCCATTCATCAGAAAACAGCACAGAGGGCTTATCATATTGTGATACTACGGTGCAGTCCAACTTAACAGCACAAGTGTAATTGATTGCTACTTACAATGTAAGGACTTACTTTGTTTAAATCAGGCAGATAAATTGCCCCGCAGTTAGAGCTGTCACCTTTGACCATTCGAGTGGGCTCATCGTCATCATCCTCATCATCTAAGCCGTCATCATCGTATTCTTCCTCATCTTCATCGTCTTCCGTTTTAGAAAGAACAACCTGAGATCAAAAAAATTTCAAGATATGTAAAGAAGACCAAAGGTGAAAAGAATGCAAGCAATATATATTTGATAAGTAACAACACACAAACAATAAGACATAACGGCAGCTTGTTTAGCAAAATGTGGTGAGATTTATTTATACATTGATGTATGTATAGTTATTTATGATCATGGTATAGGCATTGACACTGAAAACATGCACTGGTAAAACGGAAAGAGTAATTGAATGCATTATTCAAAACAGGGCTAGTTAAAAAGTACCTGGGTACTTTACCTAGGTACTTTTTTGGTACCCATAACTGTACCTAGGTAAAAATATAAAGTATCTGTCCCAGCCCTGATTCAAAAATGCAAATGCATGAAGACTGTACGCTTGAATTTTTGAAAAATTGTCACGAGCATGTATGTGGTTGAAAGAGGCGAAACAGAGAACATTCCTAGTAGCTTAGGTGAGCATAGTGACCATTTATCTAGAAGAAAGGTAAAGGCCCCTTCAATTTGATCAATGCACCAGTCAATTACCTTTCTTCTCTTGACGCCTCCAGTTCGTTCTGGTGCTGCAGATGGCCCCGGATGCTGCAGAGGCTGCTGGAGGCATTCACTCGGTTCAGGGCTCCACCGGCCCTCCCCGTCATGGTGGTCATGGGCTACAGATGGCGGCGGCCCAGCATGCCCAGTAGCAGGAGCAGGCTGTTCCTGGTGGTAGCCACCACCAGCACCAGGTTGGGCACCCCAATGCCGCTCACCGGCTTGATGGGCAGTTGTAGCAGATGGCGGCGGACCAGCATGCCCAGTAGCAGGAGAAGGCTGCATCTGTTGGTAGCCACCACCAGCACCACGTTGGGCGCCCCAATGCCGGTCGCCGTCATGATGGGCAGTTGTAGCAGATGGCGGCGGCCCACCTTGCCCAGTAGCAGGAGCAGGCTGCATCTGTTGGTAGCCACCACCAGCACCAGGTTGGGCGCCCCAATGCCGCTCACCGGCTTGATGGGCAGTTGTAGCAGATGGCGGCGGCCCACCTTGCCCAGTAGCAGGAGCAGGCTGCATCTGTTGGTAGCCACCACCAGCACCAGGCTGGGCGCCCCAATGCCGCTCACCGGCTTGATGGGCAGTTGTAGCAGATGGCGGCGGCCCACCTTGCCCAGTAGCAGGAGCAGGCTGCACCCCGGGTGGAAAGAAGTTTAGTTTTGACTAGTCTGGACTGTAGTCGTAGACTGAGTGCCCAAACTGCAATTCTTATAGCAGTCAAAATGAGAAAAACCAAAGATTTTTTTTAATTTTGGACCGCAGTCGGGAAAAGTAGTTAGGAATGCGTTGGATGTACTTTCCCAAAGAAGTTTCGTTTAGACTCCTCACTAGACTTCAAACGATGACTCAATTTTAAGTTTAACTTGCTTCTGTCTGCATTTTCCCAAACGTAATTTAGACGGGGAAACTATACAGTAGTTTCATTTAGAATTTTATCGGTTTGGCTGCAGTTTATCTCTACGTTCCAAGCTCAGTCGCAACTGTGCTCTTTTCTGCATTAGTTTTTGCACATATCCAGTATACTTTAAAGGTGCTTTTTCGATTATTGATTGAATTGCAAAAATATTATTCTTAGGTTTCAGTTTCGTATTGCGTACAAGATTTGCAGACCCCAAAGTTAGATGGGAACGTCAATCGACTGCAGTAGTTTTTTGGGGGTTCTTACGGGGTTTCCAATTTTGTCTTGTTTTCCCGTGGAAACGAAAACAACCCCGCAACAAAACAGAAATTAGCTACTCTGTCATTTTTTACCAACCCCTTTTTTTCGAAAAATTTCTGCCTTACCGGCACACGGTGGACGTCACTTAAAGGATGACAATGGCGAAGAAAAACGATGTGGATAAGGATCGAGTGCAAAAAATCTATTGTAAAACTGCAATGAAACTGCAGTTAAACTGCACCATCCGACCGGTGTGCCCCCAGAACGCCTTATCATGTGGTCCAGGTCGGATGCAGCAGCTCGCATGCCCGCTTGCCAGCGTAGTGGATAACACACCTGACTCGCAACCCAAAGGACCGACGATCGAGTACCGCCCAAGTCCAACAACTTCAACATCGAAAAACAGTTTCTCTACAGAATGAGAGGCGACGGGGTTCAAAAAAGCTTCCCAAAAAAGGAAAAAAAAAATTTTTTTAATTTTGCGATTGAAATTTGAACACTATACTCGCAACTACAGCTACCATTATAATTGTCGCATACACTTGCGACCCTACTTTTAATTAGGGTCGAAACTGCAACCGAAACTGCAGTGTTCGAAAATACTACCAGAATATCTGTATTCAAACTGCAGTCAAACTGTAGTTTCACTAAAAAACTACACTCTAAGTGTAGTTTACTGTAGTTTAACTGCACTGAAACTGCATTGATCCATCTGCAGTCTGACTACCATTGTTTTGCAAACAGTTTAAACTCAGAAAGAATAGATTTACTTCACTTCATCTCGAGACGTTCAATAGTTGTCCTGCAGTCTTAAACTGAGTTAAGTTGCACTTTACAAGTACAGAAAAAATTACAGATCTTTCCACCCGGGTCTGTTGGTAGCCACCACCAGCACCAGGCTGGGCGCCCCACTGCCGCTCGCCGACATGATGGGCAGTTGCAGCAGCACGCGGCGGCCCAGCTACAAGCCCAGTAGCAGGAGCAGGCTCATGCAGCTGTTGGTAGCCATCACCAGCACCAGGCTGGGCGCCCCAATGCCGCTCGCCGACATGATGGGCAGTTGTAGCAGCACGCGGCGGCCCAGCTACAAGCCCAGTAGCAGGAGCAGGCTCATGCAGCTGTTGGTAGCCACCACCAGCACCAGGCTGGGCGCCCCAATGCCGCTCGCCGACATGATGGGCAGTTGTAGCAGATGGCGGCGGACCAGCATGCCCAGTAGCAGGAGCAGGCTGTATCTGTTGGTAGCCACCACCAGCACCAGGTTGGGCGCCCCAATGCCGGTCGCCGTCATGATGGGCAGTTGTAGCAGATGGCGGCGGACCAGCATGCCCAGTAGCAGGAGCAGGCTCGTGCAGCTGATGGTAGCTACCAACACCACCAGGTAGGTCGCGCCAATGCCGGTCGCCGTCATGATGGGCAGTTGCAGCAGCTCGCGGCGGCCCAGCAACATGCCAAGTAGCAGGAGCAGGCTCATGCAGCTGTTGGTAGCCACCACCAGCACCAGGCTGGGCGCCCCAATGCCGCTCGCCGACATGATGGGCAGTTGTAGCAGATGGCGGCGGACCAGCATGCCCAGTAGCAGGAGCAGGCTGCATCTGTTGGTAGCCACCACCAGCACCAGGTTGGGCGCCCCAATGCCGGTCGCTGTCATGATGGGCAGTTGTAGCAGATGGCGGCGGACCAGCATGCCCAGTAGCAGGAGCAGGCTGCATCTGTTGGTAGCCACCACCAGCACCAGGTTGGGCGCCCCAATGCCGGTCGCTGTCATGATGGGCAGTTGTAGCAGATGGCGGCGGACCAGCATGCCCAGTAGCAGGAGCAGGCTGCATCTGTTGGTAGCCACCACCAGCACCAGGCTGGGCGCCCCAATGCCGGTCGCTGTCATGATGGGCAGTTGTAGCAGATGGCGGCGGACCAGCATGCCCAGTAGCAGGAGCAGGCTGCATCTGTTGGTAGCCACCACCAGCACCAGGCTGGGCGCCCCAATGCCGGTCGCTGTCATGATGGGCAGTTGTAGCAGATGGCGGCGGACCAGCATGCCCAGTAGCAGGAGCAGGCTGCATCTGTCGGTAGCCACCACCAGCACCAGGTTGGGCGCCCCAATGCCGGTCGCTGTCATAATGGGCAGTTGTAGCAGATGGCGGCGGACCAGCATGCCCAGTAGCAGGAGCAGGCTGCATCTGTTGGTAGCCACCACCAGCACCAGGCTGGGCGCCCCAATGCCGGTCGCCGTCATGGCGGTGGGGAGTCCAAATCTGTTGTACCTGTTCAATCAATCAATAATAAGCAATGAAAGGACCACCAAAAGAAAACAGGGTAATTCATAGGTTCCCCTCTGAAAATATAATTTTCCGCATAAGGTAAAGGGCCTGTCTCATCAGATATTATTTATTTATTTTGGTGGTCATTTCATTGCTTTTGTCTAAAGACAGATTTTTAATGCTTCCTTTGAGATGTCTAAGCGACATTGGAGGCAGCTGACTTTAAGCGTTACCCCAATCGAGTAACATTTTAGGAATTTTGCCGGAAAGGGGTGGAATTTGTTGTGAGGCAATTTTGACCCCTCCCTCCAGGTGGTTTTGGGCTTATTTACAAGAGAGAAAGTTACTTTAAGTTAAGAATCTGTTTTGAGCCCCATCTGAGTTGTTAGGATGGAGCAAATATGCATCTGAGTCCAAAACAATTAATTTATCGAGTTACAAAGACTTAAGATTATAAAGTTGACTCCAGAATCCATAAATGAAATGTATTTTTGATGAATACTTGGGATAATAGTTAGGGCTACATAAAGGATGCTTTGGGCCTGATTTGGTCCAGTTCTGAGTCGGAGTATTTGAGATATGATAATTGCGTAAAGTTCCTATAATGTTAAAAGATTGGGGTAACGCATGAAGTCAGCTGCCTCAAAAGTGGCTCAAAATAACTCTTTTATATGCTCTTTCATCTAAGAATAGCTTTGGGGAAGTGGGACCTTAATTTAGCAGCATTTTAGCACTTTGAAATTTTCAACCTTAAATTGCGCTAAAATGGGTAAAAATGGTTTCTTGTCGCCAAATTTTGGTCCGATTGCAAAAATTATTTAACAGGGAGTCTCTCCTAGTGAGGGCTTCTTGAAAAAAAAAATTGGTAGGCCAAAACTCCACAATGACCCAGAAAGTTGATTTGGTTTCAGAAAGAAAGCATCCAAAGCTTACAGGATGGGCTGCTGTTGATGGCAGATAAGAGGATGCCCGCCAAGTAGGGGCCTGCTGCTGAGAGGCGCTGGCTGCAAGGTGGCCCCAACGCTGCTCGCCTTCATGATGCATCATAGGTGCACCCTGTTGCGGAGGACCTGAGGACGGTTGCCACATTCTGGAGGGACCAGTTTTGGACCGCCTACGGACCATTAGAACTGAAACACAGTATTTTAAGATTCTTGAGTGCTGCTACAGATAATAACAAAGACAACCAACTATAATTATAACAACTACTTGTATTTCATTCTGCACTCGACTCTTCAAAGTTTTTTTTCTAAATTAACATTGGCATCTTGATGTCGGACATCAAGTTAAATCAAAGCACACAATTTACACTAAATTGACATGTTGGCCGAGTTTACAAAATTGAATTTGCTAAGATCCTGAGTAGTTTTGAACTTCAAAATTCCAAAAACATTAAATAAAACCACCATAATCAATAACATAAATGAAGCAATGTCTTGGTGAAGATAAGACATCTCTGGGCTGCTCAAACACAAGCTACGTCAGGGTCGGTCAAGCTGTGTAGCCAAGTACGGTCTCTACGTACGGAAACCCCGTGTTGCCTGACCAAAGACTCGGGAGAGGTTATGTTACAACATAAGCTGGTTAACCAGACTAGTAGACTGTGTTTGAGACGAATCTGGTCTTAAAACATTTCAGCACGTAAATACTATAGGATTTAATGAGCTATTTTGAGGATTTAAACGCAGATATAGAGAAACCGGTTGAGTGGTCTTGATGCGCGGCTGCGAGCGCTAAAGAAAACAGCCTCTACCATACCCCAGATAACGCACTCACAACAAAATACAACCACTATATTAAAGCATAAAACATAAAAATCATAAATTGACAAGGCAGGGTTGCAGGCTCGCTTGATAATCTTAAAATCAATCAACCACCGCGAGTGTTCGTAAGCGCGCCACCATTACCACGCAAGCTGTTTTTTTTAATTTAAATCAAAATCTCAGGATGCCATCAATTAGTGGATGTATGAATTGAACCCACGACACTAGATTCACCTACGATTACGTAGGATACTCACCGATGCGATTATTTCTGCCACTTTCTACCACAGCGATTCAGTCACACATGGCTCCAACGGAGGGAACGCTGAACTTTTTGGAACTTGTAGCTTCTCGAACCGCCCCCTAACACACCCACCAACCGAGTCTCCGCCCCCCTCCCGGAACTTCCTACAGGCAGGCAAACGTTGACAACGAAATCCGATTCCGAAAAATGAAAGGATTAGGAGAGAGTGCCTTGAATCATCTTCTAATTTTCATCGACTGCATACTGAACCCTTTTGCTAGTTAACTGTCTTTTTTTAGCTTCCCTTTGTGTCGTTCTTCTTACTTCCGTTCCAATAAAACTTGAAGCGGAAAAAGAAGAAGAACAACAGAAGTAAGGAAATCTGAGCATGCGCAGACTGCGACCACGCCATTGCGGATGGCGTTTGGACTACTTAGTGTACTTAGTCCAAGGATGGCGGGAGAATAATCTTTGTGGCGATGGCGATGGCAGTTGTGTGCGTATCACTGTAGTGGCTTTTTTAAAATTAGATTCTGATGCAGATTTGACGTTTTAATTATTCCACAGGCTTTGTTTGGTGGGCCTGTGCCTCGCAGGCGACCTGGTACGGGCTGTGAGGCTTATTGAAGAGAATGGCTACCGAGGCATGTCTCACTATTATCACCTGGGAGATGGGTCTCACGCCTACCATTTCAATACTGAAACTTCGTCCTCATTGTATTTCCGATGCGTCTTCTATGACAAGTTGAATTGTAGAGGCAGAGCGATCATGAGGTTTGGCGGTGCCTTTCGCCACTCTAACCCTCACAACCATCCTCCAGATCGGGACTTGGTCAGCAAAAGGCATTTCCGGGAGAATGTGCTTGACGAATGCAGAGATGCAAAGTACGTGTCTTATCAGCAGATACTCGACAAGGCGAGGAGTGATCGGCGGTAAGTTTATATGAACAACCTTTTTAGAACTGCGTCACTCTACAATAAGAATCTTATCACCTTAGTCTTACTTTGTCCTTCTTGTACTCAGGTACCACCGAAGAGTCAGGTGTACAATGACAATGAGGCGTCTGAGAAATGCCATGTACAAAGCCCGAATGGATTCATTTCCTCAGATCCCTGACACCCTCTCTGAAGTGACGCAACTGCTTCTTCAAAGACGATGGGCGAAAATTTCAAGCACTGTCGATGGAGATGACAACCTTTATGCTGGCTCAATAACTGCTTTGGATGGTAGCCACAATGTTGTCTTCATGTCCAGAAGGATGCGAGATTTCGCTGGAAGAATAAGCATTCTTCAGTCAGATGGTACTTTCAGGGCCCGCCCAATTGTGCCACCCACAAGTCAAGTGTTTGTTCTTGTCACTCCCTGGCAAAATGCAGTAAGTGAAAAATATTTTAAGGGAGTAAATTTGTAGTGGTTAAAATTCCTGGTGGTACATGATAATTCAGAGGGCCCAAACTTTGTAAAATTGATGCAGATTGTTAAAATTTTTGAAAATTACTTCTTAGTTGACTTTATCTTAAAAGTTACTCCCTTTTGGCTTACTCGCAATGTGACATTTAACTCATGTACCTGATCTCTTTGCATGTTTAAGGTAATTCCCATAGGATGGGTCCTGATGGAGAAGAGGACGTATTCGGCTTATAGAGCCGTAATTCATTTATTGAAGCGGTTGTGTCCTGATCTTCAACCTGGTGTAATCGTTACTGACTGGGAGTGGCCACAACAACGAGCTTGGCAGGAAGCCTTTCCTAGTAAGATAGAGTGCAACAGAAAGTTAATTGCATCCTATCAGGATTTGAGTTGTTAACAATTCATCTTTTGTCTTCTTTTATAGATGCAAGGGTCCAAGGCTGTCTTTGGCATCTATGTCGAGCCTACGTCAGGAAAGTAGCGCAGTTGGGACTACTGAAGTTCAGGCAATCATTGCCTGACATGTTTGATATAATCAGGAAAGTGTGTGGAATTGCCCTGTTACCAAGACGCTTCTTTTTAGTTGGGCTTGGCCTGTTGAGGGCTGAAGCTTTGCAAACTGATGTGCTCATTGCGTACTTATTGCGGCCATTTTTCACCTATGTTGAAACCAAATGGATCACCAATGGAAGACGAAGGTACTGGATGAACCTGTATAATTCAATGCACCGGACAAATAATTGTTGTGAAAGTCATAACAAGCAATTGAGAACAGCCGTTGGGGCCTACAGGCCCAACATCTATGCTTTCATCGCAGCCCTAGCCCGACTGGAACACAATGCTTATCTCAATGTGGACCTAATGGACATGGGAGGCGTAGCCCGGAGGTCTCGTAGATGGCAGGCAGTGTTTGCAGACGCCCAGATAAAAAATTTGTGCAATGAATTTGACAATGATGTATTTAGAAATAGAAATGTCACAGTTCAAAACTTCTTAAATCAGGCTGCTGATTTGTTTTATTCTGCGTACAGATATCATCTTGACAGAGCAGGCAGGTAGATCAGAGTGATGGAAATAAAAACACTACTTATTTTAAATAACTTCACTTCCTTTTATTTTGCTCCTGGTTCTCAACACTCTTGACAAGTACGTTGTGATTTACCTAGTTGGCTTTCAGTTTTCTGGCGGTTGCCTTTTAATAAACCTGTTACTTAAAGTTAAATTTTAACATTCTTAAACCGACTCAGTCAGCAGCTTCATCAAAAACACCATCTGAACCTCCAGCCACTATCTGAAGTACATATTGCTGAACTTGTTTGGCAGATTCCTGTTCATGTTCTTCTGAGATGTCTTTAGGTATCCCATAATGCCCTCGCTTTGGTTGTGAGCCATTCTTCCAACGTAGATTTCCCCATGTTGAAGTTTGAATGGGAAATAAGTGTTCAAAAGCTGAGGGCAGTGATGTGCCTCGTACGGCTAAAGTTCCAGCTTCACGCAACAGCTGCGAACGCTTAAAGAATTCACCCATAATCTGACTTCGCTTTGTAGAGGATGCAAATTTCTTCCTCTCCCTGCAAAAACAGCACTTTACATTCAATGAAAATCTATTGGCCAGAATTCGTTAAAATATCTCACATTACCTCAGACCTTCCTCACCTCAAAGTAAAAACATTGCAGGCAGGTATGACTTTCCATTTCATTTTTGCAAGACTTGCAAGTAAACTGTTCAAGGTGTCTGCATTCCGCAGGACTAACTGCCCATCAACTTCATGGTCAAAGGTCTCAATACCATCCCAATATGACCCCAAAAAGTCTGCATGGCTGTCAATAAAGTGAGGCTTCTTCTGAATCCGTCCACTGGGGGAAACACTAAATGGTTTTCCGCACAGCACACAACACTCCTTGTTTAAGTACTTGAGATTGTTTTGATGAAACGTTTTCAATAATGATCGATCACATCTTATATCATTTGATGGTATGATAGAACAGCACTGGACAAGTAAAACCACAAATTAAAGAATTTGAATCCATAGCACACAAACTTGAATTGAACACATTCACATGACATTACCTTATCGTTGAACCATTTCCCAAACTCAGGCAACTGCGATGGAGAGCCATAATCCCAGAAAAGCTCATCTCCTGGTTTCATGGGCGATGACTTAATGTACACAGAGAATGATTCTGGACCTTTGTAGGACTTTGTCACAGTAGTGTTTGGATGCTTTCCTTTCCAATTGAGATATGACAATGGTCCACCTAAATATCCAGCCACATGAATTGGACTTCTCTCATAGAGATGGTAGCATTTACTTGTCACTGGAGCGCATGATGCTGTCCACCCAAATTCAACATAATCCCGTTCTAAAAATTTGATGGAGAAGGGCAGTGATTTCTTGGCACGTATGCGAAATCCAAGATCGGGATTGCTCTCCTCAGTGAAGAATTCCAAAACAGTTGATGCTTTTTCCCACATGGTCCTTACACATTGTTTCATAAGCATCAGTTGTTCAGAAGTAGCACCACAAAATTCTGAAAAAGCAGTAGAAATATGAATTTTAGAAAATCAACAACCTTGCCACTTTACTCTACAGTAAAATACAATTTAGACAGTTAAGACTAAGCTTTCAATCTGACTGAAACAAACTCGTTGATTTCAATGTAGAAATAAAAACGTACCTGCTGTTGACTCATCTTCAATTTCTTTACAGTGTCTGAGGGGAATTTGCATTGTTTCACTGGCACACAGGTTGTCAAATGCCCACATCTCCCTCAATTGAACTGGTGATAAGACATAACAGGGTTGAGCTCTGTAAGAAAATATATACACATAAATAAATTATCAAAGAAGACTCAGCAGGGCGTGTCATGTATCACAAATGCTTCATCCAGGATGGGCATGAATAATGATTATTTGTTCAGACTGCGGACATTGTCGCAATATTGATATATTTTTATTAATGAAAATAATAAGACTGGAGATTTGTGTGGCGCAAACAGGGGAGCTGTAAAGCTCAGACAAAATCATGTAGGCAAATCATAATGTAATAATTTGTCTTGCCTTTTTTCATCGGCAGTAGCCATGACAACATATGGGAAAATAACTGTATGTTAATTACTCTTTGTTATTCAAAATTCGGTGGTTTACTCTGGTGAAATCCCATTTGGTAGCTGAGTACTTTGTAGCTAAGTACAGTCTACTGTCTGTGAACTGTGTATAAGCAGAACTGAACTGTGAATAAGCATGTACAATGGGTGCTGCGTTTAGTGTCATCAAGCAGTGTCGTCTTTTCTTTATTGAGGAGGATTTCAGTTCCAGTTTGTAGTTTATTGTTGTTTGGCTACTGTCCTTGCCATTACAATGCTTCCGAGCGATTCATGCTTTGTCAATGACGAGAACGGGTGCCCTATGTTGCTCGTTAACTCAGATCACTTGAAAGACTTTCCAGGGCTCGTTTCCCACATAAGAAGTAAAGGTTATGGGCACGACACCGGCATTTTGAAGGTAAACAAATAATCTGCAACTGCAAACGGCATCATTTTTTTTCCACTGTACCTTTCGTGCAATAATTATATTCATCCCATGTGGGTAATCATTCAATGTGGTTAATTTTACTTATCAATTTTTCCAGCTTCGGTTAAACCCAAAGGACAGAAAGGATAATGAAAATGTTGACAAAATTATAGAATTAATGAAGAAGAAGTTCAAAGAAAAAATCTATCAAGAGAAGCAGCGTGTCTTTTCATACATCCCAGATGCACAATTAGTATTTAGGGCATCAGTCCATGATGATGTTTATCAAGTGGTGCGAGGTGTTTGCACAGATGAGGAGCGAAAAAAATTTGTTGAAGAAGCAACCAACAAAGCAAGCTATATCAATCAAGATCAAAGTTGCTGGTATGCTTCAAACTCTTATTTTTTTTTGTCACTGACAAGGTATATTGACTGTCTGTCGAAATAACAGTTGGTTTTTGTTTAGTTCTCAGGCTCTCACTTCTGGAATTGATTGCATTCGGAAGCATTATTTTGATGTAATCCGAGAGTCAGCGCAATCAAATGACCAATGTGAAGGGACAAATAACAATGGAAAGAAAGTGTCAACAGTTCTTTATGGAAGTGGAATCCAGCTTGATCGGCGCCAGTCATTGAGAGTTTGTGATTCACTCTCAATGTCAAAGTTAGGAACAGTTCTTGATCTCATTGATGAAAAATATGATGGGGTTGCATATCCCTATGTGTATTCTGGTACAGCCCATTCAATTTTCCCATGGCATATTGAAGATGCATCCCTATGGAGCATCAATTATTTAATGAAAGGTGCTAGTAAGTTGTGGTAAGTTTGTACCCTTATTTCGAGTCAGAAACTGCACTTGAATTTTCTTAACCTGGAATTTCCACTTATTGTATTTGAATTTCTTGTATCACCAGGTTTGCAATTCCACCTAAATACTTTGGCACTGTGGACAAGATTGCTTCTTCGTCACGAATTCATAAGGCGCACTCATCTTGCCGAGCCGTCCTTGTGGATCACAAATGCCTTCTTGTAGACCCAGAGCTATTCAAGCAGAAGTTCGGAGTGCCATACATAACTGTAATGATTCTTTTCTTCTGAGAACTTTTTAAATGTCTTGACCAAAAGACTGTGTTTTTCTTTGAAAGAGCTATGCACGAAAGACTGGGTTGCAAAACAGTGAAAACGCATCCTCTATATTTAGTTTTCCTTTCTTATAAAGAAGAAACATGTGCTTGATATCTGTAGAATTAAGTAACTCATGTTCAGCTCTGACTAACGTAATTTTATTTATTGGAAGTAAAGTCAAGTCTGTGGTCTCCCATGTATGCAGGATATAATCATTATGAAGTTCTGCGTATATGTGACACCATGGACAAGGCATCCTTAAATGTGCAAGAAGATCTGAGACATTTTGTTTTTTGCCAGGTGGTGCAAAAACCTGGTGATTTCATTCTGACATTCCCGTTTGCATTGCATTCAGGAGGTAATATGGGAAATAATTTGGCTGTTGCAAGTAACTTTGGCGATCCTGACTGGGTCGAAGAAGCCATTTATGCTCCAGTTTGTAGTTGCAAGTACGTCTGTTTACTTTCTCAAAATAATACAAGTTCTTTTTCCAATTACTAATTTACTGATTTTATTTTTAGCCTCAATCAGGTGCACCTCGATCTCACCAATGTATTGAAGAGCTGTAAGCCGCATCTCTTAGATACATACCAGAATGAAACATTCCTTATTTTCCCTCCGGGACACCCCATGGAACTGCAAGATGTAAAAACTACTGCTCTTGCAACACCTCACACCTCTATCAAAATTGTGAATAGAGGATCAAGAGGAGGAATGAGATCGAGGACTTTGGAGTGTCCAGATTGCTCATCAACTTTTACTCAAAATAAATTGGACAGACTAAAAAAACATGTGAAGAAGAATCATAGTACAGACATGCTACGCCTTCTCCGCATCATTGATGCTAAGTATCCACCTTGGAAGCCCAAGACAACCCACGGAAAAATGTGCAATATATGTGGGTCATTTGTGAGAGGGTCTAGATTCCACTTGGATAGGCACAAAGCAACATGCAGTGTTTTGCCAGCACAGAAACAGAAGTAAAAGCCAAAAGATGTAGACACAATTTTTTGTCCTTCCATTTTTTTAAACCAAATAACAATACATTTTGTCTTATTTTAGCTCATCTTTCTGGTTTATATGTTATGTGTTTGAAATAATATAATCTAGTAATTAGTTATCCTCATGACTCATTTATTCATCTTTTTACCGGATACAGTCCTGGAGTGGGGTGCGAAGGAGTTCATCCAACAGAAACTAAATTAAAACTATAAAATCAACATTCAATTAAACATATTTCTAAGACTCAAAATTTATTGAACAAATCCTTCAATTAGAAAACTGTAAGAGAAGAAAACATAAGGCACAGTGCAGCAGTCGCAAGGTTAACTAAAACAGATAACTATGGATAGTTGCATAAGGATATTAGTAAGATTTTAAACTGAGATATTCATATTTTTCTAACAGAGAATGCTAGTTAAAATGTACTTAAAATTTTATAATATCTGTAATCTTCTTCAAGAAATTTAATTTAATTGATTTTGTTCTATATGAAGTAGGTGGTAATTTGCACGACCGGATCAAATGTGTGCTTAGTTCACACCTGTGCGAATGTACATAGAAGCACAAATCTGCAGGACTCCCACGGTTGTGTACTAAGTACACATCGGATCTCTTACTGTAGATCTGAGATTTGGGACAAATTTCTTACTTACTAAAAGTACAACTCATCTAATCATAACACCTACAACTTCAGTTGAAAACTAGAAAATTCCAAGAATATACCAGGGTAATAGACACCCGAACTTTTATTGCATAGGTAATATATTACATATCAAAAGCACAATTTGCAACCATAGCTGTACACAAGACTACATCTCAGAGATGGAGTCAACTTCTACATGTAAAATCAGAAACATGGGAGGCTTCAACATTGACTTCATAGGTATATATTATTTTATTTATGTTCATGACACTGTATTCATGTCTGTGATAAATTCTGTATCAGGTTTATGTCTGCAATAAATTAGATTTATTTAGACAACAACATTGACTGATACATGCAGGTCTTAGAATTTTTTGTGTTGACCAAGCACATGACTCATGAGTAAATTAACCCTTTAGGGGTAGGTTGGGGAAGAAAAGTACAGGGTAAGAAAAACACAACCCTTGTGGAGCTGATCTCTTGACTTTTAGCCATCCCTCGACCAGTGATTTCAACTTAACATGAAAATCTGAGTGTGAAAACACTGTTACATCGATGTCATGGGCTGGAGCAGTAGGCCAGAAGAGGGGTGTACTTTTCTTACCCTGTACTTTTCTTCCCCAACCTACCCCTACTAGTTTATTCAAATTAAGAACAACTGTCCTCAACAAGAATTTTCTCTGCATGTGAATGATAGGGTAGGTTGGGGAACAAAAGTGCCCCCTTATGATGTACTGCACAAGCCTCTACATTCATTTAGCAGTGATTTCACTCTCAGATTTTCATGTTAAGTTGAAATAACTGGTCGAGGGATGGGTCAAAGTCAAGATAACAGCTCCTTTGGTGATGCACTTTTCTCACCTTGATACCCTACCAAACATCAAAAGCACTATTTGAAATAAGAGTGCCATCTGCTCAAAGCATAAAGCATTCAAATTTAAGGGGAGGTTCTGGTGAAAATGTTGCCATTTTCCAAATGAAACCTACAGTCATACTTTGTTCGGAATATAAAATTTTTCATTGAGGAGACTAAAATTTGACTTTTGAAGGCACATGCCAGGCTGTAAACCCAGTCGAAGAGTCTTTTTGAGCCTATTTTGGCTGTATCCTAAAAAATCTCCTTGCGCATACTATTTTGTCGTAAAAGGTTGACCTTGACATTTTTCACTTCTTCGATTCATTTTCAAAAGATTCCGGCATGCATAGCTCAATACTTCCATTATATTATTAATTATTAGCTTTTTAAGCTGAAAAGTTCCTAAAATTTGTGTATTTTGTACATTTTTGATCAATTACAGTGAAATGCTTGGTTAGAAAGCTTGCGAATGAAAATGCAATTGACATTTTGAGATGTGCATGCCGGCATTTTTAAAAAATGAATCGAAGAAGTGAAAAATGTCTAAGCCAACCTTTTACGACAAAATAGTATGCGCAAGGAGATTTTTAAAGTTATAGCCTAAATGGGAGAAAAAGGCTCTGCGACTGGGTTCAGGGCATAGAATGTGCCTCCCCAATGAAAAATTTTAATAAATACTTGATAAGACATCAAATTTTTAACAAATTTTCACAGTGGGACCTATTTAGTAGAAAGTAGCATTTTCACCAGAACCTCCCCTTAACTAAGAGCAAAGTAAAGTACTCAAGAAGATTTGTGCAACAATGAGTTGTTGGCAGTATAATAAATAAGTAAACAAGGTAGGTGTACGCCAAAAAGCATCTCAGTCATAGAAGCTAAGGCTGAACGTTTCTGTTGCCAGCAAGGGAGGTTTCTGGCATGGCTTCATACTTTCTTTGAATGACTAATAAACAATGGTCTTTGAATTTTTTGTGGCGATCAAGTACATGGCTCTTTAGTAGATGTAAGCCTCTGCCACTGGGTCCAAATTTAAATGCTGCTGGGCATTTTGGACACTGCAAAAGCCTTCCAAAGTTATTGTTACTTGATAATGTAGAGCCTTTTTTTGGGAGTTTTTGAGATGCATAATTATGGGCCATACAAAGAGACAAACTTGATTTCCTTGAAACACTCATAGCATCCTTTTCAGAGAGTTTCATCTCATTGATGAGTGGTTCGTCTTTGATGATAATCTGAACAATGAAAAAAAACAGAAGGGTGTCAAACTGCAACCAGATAAGTGTGTAATAACAAATGAATTTGGGTTTGAAACTTACATCATCACATAGGGGAACAATGCCTTCAGTATTGGTATTTTTAACTCGGAGCACATCATCAATCATAGATTTCAAAAACTGAGGGACTTCATAAAATGAGATGTGATTCTTCATCTGCGTATCAATTAATGGTGGGATAATATTGTTGATACAGTTTTTAACACTGTACCTGTCAGCAACGCTTTGGAAAATAAAAATGAAGTTAAACTTTGAATCACATCAAGGTTACAAATATTAACTTTTAAGTCCTTACCACATGGTGTAGATGGAGGAAGAATTTGGAAAAAAGGGATATTTTGCACAATTCCCAGGATAATAAGATGGAATTAATGACGTGATAATATCACCCGGATGCATTACAATCTGAGTGAGATAAAATGAAAATGCAATTACAGTTGAAGAATATTACTTGATAAATAAATTAATAAAGGAATGTTAAACTAACTGAGGTCAATGATGCGTTTGCTTGTGTGGCATGCAGAGAGTTATCATCATTAGTCATTGCAACTCCAAATCGACATCTGATGGTGACAGCTGATCTTGACGGGACAAGGCTATGTACGGATGCCACATAATCCACAATACCTTGAAAATCCTGGGATATCACAAACCTAGAAAATATTTTTGAAAAGTAAAATTGTTGTAAGAGTCAAAACTGCAAAATAGAACAAATGAAGCAAGTCCCACCATATTTTGGGCAATGGAACTGTGGATTGTAGAGGTGATACAACACTGTCATTGTGAAACATAAGCCATTCAACTGCAGGACATTTACTAGAAAGGTTCACATGTGGCCAGGCCAGTCCTCTGCCATAGATAACCACTCTTTTAAGTGCTGTTTGTAGCCTTTCAAATGCAGCAGTATCACAGATGTAGATACACTTTCCTCCATAATTCCCGAGTTCACTTTCAGGCCAAATGCAGTCCACTTCCACGGGTCTGCAGATCGGCCACTTGGGGCTGATAAAATATGGCCCATGACAGAAAACGGAACAATGGAAAATATTTACAGCTGCCTTCAAAATATCTGTTTGAGTGGGTTGGGACGAGTCAAGATCAACAGCCATAACCTAAGTGAAGCCACCTGTGGAACAAATGAGCAAATAAGGTACTAAAACGAGTCAAACATGTACCTTAACAACACAAAATAAAAAAGAAACAGATAACAAATTACATCTTAAGATGAGATGGGGGCTAATTACTGTAGGTTAGAAGTACTAAGATCTAATATTTAGATGAAAATCACAGTTCTTTCAAAGTTACATTCTATTAATGACTGATTCCATTCACATAAAACCTATAAAAGATTGTTGAATGTACGAAAACGACTTGACAGATAAGCATATTACCTTCTGTTTTCTGTTGTACCAGCTGGCTGAGACACTATAGGCAGGCTGCTGACAGCTCCACGCGCAGGATCAGTAACCTTATTCTCATACAACATGTATGAGGAATTGGGTAGACCATTCAAGTTTGAATTTGAATTTAGGCCACATCTCACTTTGGAGATATTTTTTAATAAGAGCTCTCGCGACAAGTTACTTTATATTATATAATTTGAGTTATTTTTAGGAGAAATAGTTGTTACTGGGTTGTTTCAGTCATGGAGATGTTTTATTACGCGGCAAACACTGCTCCCTTCTTGCTTTCCTGCAAGACAGGGTCTTGAGTCGAGTCTCTGAGTACGGTACACGAGTACGTTGCCAGTGTTGAATGCTTCTGCACTTTTTCAGTTTTTCAGTATTCTTATTTTCGCACACAACAGTGCAAATTGAAACAGTTAGAAAAGACATCTAGGTTTAAAAACAAAACACTGAGGAAGAGAGGCACTCTTCATAGATTAACATATAATATTATGACTGTGGTTTTAACAAAACCAGGCCTTCCCTATTAAAAATTTTTTACAAACATCGTTTAGTTTATTTAAAATTTTAAGAGGTAGACTTTTGCAGAAGGCAAATTTACATAATATGCGCTTGATTAAGTAAAGGTTTAGAATATCCCCTATCTCTCCATCCCAAGTACACCTGCACGTCGCCAAAATGCTTGACGCTTGTATGTACGATCGAGGCCAGGTGCCACACGTGCTGCATCGCGTTCAAGTTCCACAGCTTGGCGTCGGCCAGCCTCGCGCGGACTCTCCCACTCGGCCAGGCTAGTTGGTCGCCACCAAGCCGTTGTTCCTTGCCTCGAAGGAGACCCCCAGCAGCTGGAGCTCCTGGACGACCGGGAAGGGCAGTCTCGCCCGGCGCGGACTTGGTACTTGTTATTTCCACGGCTTCTTTCCTGCTGTTTTCGCTGTGCGGCCAAGGGGTTGCCGACACGGAACTAATCCTGCGCGTCCACTGGGTCCCCGGCCCCTCTGGTTCGAACCCGAGGCCCCCGTGGTGCGACGGCGGCCACGGCCTCCTTGGCCATCGGTGCGCGAGGCGCTCGTGGTGCCCGCGGTGCTCGTGGTCCTCGTGGTGCTCGCGGTGTTGGAGGAGAGGCCGCGCAGCGCGCCTCCAGGGTACTGCGGGCCCTCCTCCGGTGTCGCCGGGAGGCCGCCAGGCGATGGGGCGGGACGCTGGGCGGCAGCCCCTGGGTGTGGGCATCACGACTACCAGTTCAACCACCAGCACCAGGCGACCGTGGACGTGAAAGAAGGCTGCGACACTCACTATTCGCCTCCCGCACCATCGTCAAGGTGGTTTGCCACATGGCGACCTCCCCCTGAGCCTGCTCGAGGCGCTCCTGCAAGATTGGATGCATTAGCGAGGTCGGGGATAAGTCTCGCTGTTTCGGACGCATTCCGTTGGTCGTGACGTACCAACACCCAGCACTCGCAGGCGTACCCTGACACGGGCATCGGCTCTGGGGGCTGGAAGTTGGGCATGGCTTCTCGCGCGCTGCTGTGCGCGAAGAATGCAGCTAGCTGCCAGGCAACGGCACCGACAGAGCAAGCTGACTGATTCCGAGGGACCGCTTCATCGCTCTGTCTCTCTCGTACATATACGGGACGCCCCATAAGTGTGAGAGGCACAGAAGGATGAAGCGGTCCTTCGGAATCAGCGCAGGCAGGCGCCATGTAGAGTCCAGGACTCTACGCCTGCCAGCCAGGCCCCTTGCAGAGGCAGGGTAGGCAGGCCCGCACGACGCGGCCCGTTGGTGGGACCGCCTGCCAGCCAGGATACAGCCTTGGTTTCTGGACTCTCGAGTAAAAGCTAGCTGACACCTTTAAGTGTCTTGTATTGTTCTAGGTATGTTTTGAAGTAGTAAAGGAATCATCTGCTAAAAAGGTATTGCTGAAAACAAATCGGCTACCCGGTGGGACCTTCCTTTTTGCGCCTTTGAGGTTCACCTCGACGACCCGACCCACACGGCCACGGCCTCGGCGCTGTCCCGGGGCGGGCCCCCGCGGTCCACGTCGACGACCTACTCGGCCACGGCTTTGAATCCAACCCGCGAGTGTGCCCCGGACGGTAAACCGTCTCTAGACAGTTTTGCCTGGTGACAATTGTTACATGACTGATTGGCACCTAGTGGCTGTCCAGCTTAACTAGGCGTTTTGGGAACCGCCTAGTCGGCGGTCATGTCGCAACTTTTGCTTACTTGCAGGCGGATTGTAAGACAAATTGCCTGCATGCGTTTCGTTAAGAGCAGAAGGGGGCTTAAGGCCCCCGTAGCCAAATTCCCCCCTCCGCCCCCCACACACACAGAGGCCGCCAAGAGGCTCGCACCGGCTCGCACGGCTCGAACGTGGAAGCGCGCGCGGAAAGGAGTACCCGAACCCAACAGCGATAACGCGTTTCGATCGAGAACATACCTTACGGACGAACCGCGCGATACACAACTCCGAAGCGAGCCCATCCTGACTTCGCCGCCTTCAGGGTAAAGGGCTTAGGCGACGCCTATATGCGCGGTGAACGAGACGGTACCACATCGCACAACATGCATGCTGCTGGTCGAAGCGACGCAACACCTTTCCGTCAACGGGGTTACCGGTGCACCAGCAAAGCGCCTTCGCCGAGCTAAGCAGGGCGCTGATGCTGGACTTCCCTCGCGGCCTTGGCGTGGGTTAGGTTAGAGAATGACGGAGCGCGGCCCGGCGGATACCTGGAGGCTAGCTGCTCTGGACTTCCCCCATTCCTCCCAGGGGATGCGGCTTCCGCAGCCAGACGACACTGAGATTCCAAACGCTATGAGTATAGCACGTATGGTGCAATGCGCTGTGATATCGCACCATACGTGCAATGCCACAGCCATATTGCACCTTTGGTGCAATGCTTCCCGAAAAGGCCCTATGCTAATGCATGGGAAATGGGAGGCATTGCACTTCATGTGCAATGCTTTTACATTGCACCAATTGACGCTATACTCATAGCGTTTGGATTCTCAGTGGAGCCCCTTCCTGAAGGTGGGTGTCGACGCCGCGCTCCCGGACTTCCCCGTAGGGGTGCGAGCTTGTAAGGTGCGAGAGAGACAGAGCGACGAAGCAGTGTTCGGAATCAGACAGCAGAGGCCGCCGGGACCTGGACCTGCTCAGCGAGCTGCGCGCTATCCTCAAGCCCACCACTGTGCAAGGCAGGTGACGCCTCCCGCCGTGGGCCGTCGGGACGATGGCCACCGATACAACGAGCGCCGTGACCGCCGCCAGGACGTCCAAGGGGCCCGCCCCCGCGACTCCCAGGCGGGAAACGGCAATTAGCCGTGTCGCCGGCCACGACACCGGCTACCGGCAGCCTGGCGCCCGCCCGCCAACCCGCTGCACGGCTATCCCCGCCTTCAGCGTGGCACATGGCTGGTCGACGACTTCATCGAGGTAAGCAGTGCCGCTTTATCCTAGACACCGGCGCTGAGTTGCGCTGAGTTCACAGTCCTTCGACGAGTCCTCCTCCCGCCGGACCCCCGCACCGCCCCTGTCGCCGCTCGAGGAGCCTTCGTCGGCGCACCAACAGCAGCGTCCTCCAGGGTCCTCGGCGGGTTGCGGCCACGCTGGCGACCGGCGTCATCGTGCCGCTCGTCGTGTGCGATGGCGCCGCGCAGACTTCGCGGCCGCCCACGTCCACACCCTGGACGTGCCGCACGACCAACTCGTCCTGCGCGACAGCAGCGCGCCCGTCCAGCTCAGTAGGGCGTCCACGCCGCCGGCAGGGATTGGCATCCTGCTGGAGGTCCACTGCGTCCATTAGGTCCTTCCCCCACGGAGCGACTTGTGACGGTCAGTGGGTGTGACGTGACGCTCGAGACGCAAGTGTTGACCCCTGTGCCAGGCAAGAGCCAGCCAATGTACCCGCGGCTTGCAAGGTGGCGCCTTGCTCGCCAACGGACGGGTGTGCCGAAGATGGCCGAGTAGGTGATCTCCTGCAACCCACGTGCAAGTCTGCCACCCCTACCTCCTTCGCCACGCGCAACACCGGCCAGCGCAACGACAGCCCGGATACAGTCCAGCACATCCCTGGGAGCGACCAGCGTGACTAGGCCACCGATCCGGTGACCGCCGCGCCGCCCCCAGCGAGACGCCCACCACGGCGGACGGCCACAACGACGGCCAGGCCCCGGTGCGCGTGGCCCGGGCACGATGCGTCCCCCTCCCTCTCAGCCTGCCCCCAGGGTTGCGCCTCGCCAGCACCCTCCTCGCAGACGAAGATGGCCGC